AATAATGCGATTTTGTTTGTTTTTGCTGGAAAAAATTCAATTTTACTATTTTTTACTATATATTTATATTTTATCGATTGTAGAATGATAATTCTTAGAAAATTAACGACCCTTAGTTTTTATCGTTATTGCAAAATATTTTAATAATAAAAATTTAGAATTTAATCTAATTTTATAGCTTTCTGTTGAGAAATCTTTTTAAACGGAAAAAAAAAAAATTATGTAGATTAATTTGGATGTAGGTTGTATTTATATCGTCAGAAATTTCAGGTTTAAATGGATAAGTTTTGACTAACTTAAATTATTTTTGTTTGTTTCTAGATCACTCTTATTAATTACACTTATTTGAATACCAACTACTTAGAATTAAAATTTTGTGTTATTTCTTTTCGGCCTTATTTTGATCTTGACGTTTTCCAAAAACCGATTTCTTTGTTTGATGGTTTTTTGCAATAAAACAGTAATTAATGGAGATCAAAAAGCTTGCCATAAAGTCTTAAACAAAAAAGAATTTATTCACTAACATTTAAAAAAAATTCGGTTTTCCGGTGTTTGATGTATGTGTTTATATATGTAAGTGAATAATTCCACGGGAATAAGATCAGAATTTTCTGCGTAAAATGTTATAAAATAGGAAATGAAAAAAACAGATGTACATTTAAGTGCATGTAAATAGTATCTATAGGATTATATCAACAGGAGTTGTATATTAATAGCAACTCAATTATTGAAATTGGGCTTTTTTACCCTATAACCTTAAAGTATTTTAAATTTCATGCATAAGTAGAATTTCTCGTTCGCTACACTTACTTAATTAACTCTTATCAAGATCATGAAAATTATATAAATGTATGAATTCTTAATCCATCATATTAGTAATTTTCTATGGCGTATACTATATGTCATGTACATACAATTGACTGTCTTGTGAGCCGAAGACGCGCTAACACAAACGAATTTTTTTATTTTAAAGACGATTTTATTGTCTTGTATATTGCACGATTTGATATAAAAAAAAATTGTCGTAAAAAAGGTCGAGCCATCGACAGAATATTTTTCAAATAATCAATGCAAACGAAAACTGCACGATGCACTTCATTTGAGATATGTCAGGATACTCTCATGGCAGTATATTTTCTTTAGTAGCTTAAGACTATTTTATAATAGTACTTGTATAACTTGTTAATGTATAAATTTTTTTTAAGAAGATACAAGTTATTATTTTAAATATTGTGGTAAAAGATTANAGAAAGAATTATTATTGCAAAAGAATAGAAAGATACAATAGATTTGTTGGATATCCTTCGCGCAAAATACCTACAAAATCATACTTTCTCAACATCAATGGTAAGAACGAAATTGGTTATAGGAATAGTTACGATGCAGATTATCTGTTACACTTATACATATCACTTCATTGATGGTAATTTTTGTCGTATAGATCCACCTTCTTTTACGCTTGTTAATATGAACGCTACAAAAATAACAGTGCTGGCAAAGGATTTTGAGAATCCCCTGACTTTATTATGCCACGTTGGAGGGATTCCAACCCCTAATATTACGTGGTCAAAAAACAATGTACCTCTGAAGATGTCATCACAGTATACTTTTGAGGACAACAATCAAAAATTAACTATAAGATACTTTTTTGAAAAAGATTCTGGAAATTATTTATGCCATGCTAAGAACGATTACGGAACAGTGGAAAAATCACAAATCATTGTTGTGAAAGGTAACAAAAATCATTGCCAACAGTAATGACGCACTCCTTTAATTCCTTTTTTATTTTTCGAAAACAAACTTTAACGAATAAAATTAGTCTGTACTATACAAAAGTACAGTATATTTTACATTTAATTATATTATCTAAAACTATGTAAGGCATTTTAAGAATAAAGTACTGAATATTGAACAAAATATAAATCGTTTTAAATAGTAACAGAAAAGAGTTTGACTAAAAAAAATTCATGTAATGCCGAGCAGTTAACTATAAATACACTTGTAAAATTTTTTAAATAGTAAAGCTCATGAGTTCATGCTTTCCCTATAATTAAAAACAAGATCGGTGTAATAAGCCTTCATCTATAGATGCATATATAATGCATTTGATGTTATTTTTCGTGGCCCAAATGTAAAGATATAAAGACTCCGTAGTTATAAAAAAAGTTGTTTATAATTTCCGTAAAAACATCAATTGTTCAATGCAAAAGTTGGTAACCTCATGCATTACTTACTCTAGGGACTCAACATTTTGTATTCGAAAATTTTATTGCTTTTTGTACTATTTTACAGAGAAGTAAAAAACAACCCTTTCAAAGAACATGATTTTAACTAGTTCTCTGAATTTATGTAATCAAAGTCGGGTACTTTAGTTATAGTATCTGTCTGCATGTATTTATTTGCATGTGAGTATGCATTCAATTAGTTATATCCTAAGATTTCCATAACGAATAATTATTTCTGTTTGGTTACCAATTCCTTAGAAATAAAGTTTTGTGTTACTTTCTTCTGCTCTTATGTTGACTTGCCAACTTTCTAAAAACCAATTTTTTTGTTCAATGGTACGTAACGATAGAAACTCTGAGAGATCAAAAAACTTACCATAAAGTCTTACACAAAAAAGAATTCATTCACTTACATTTAAAAAAAAATTCTGTTTTTCGGAGTGTGTACTTCAGTTAATATATGTACAAAAAATGTATTTGTAGTTTGGAGTCCCCACGTGAATAAGATCAGAATTTTTTTGTGTAAAATGTAATAACGTAGAAAATGAGAAAAAATAATGTACATTTGAGTGGATGTAAATAGTATCTACAGAATTCTATCAACAGGAGTTGTATACTAATAGCAACTCAATTATTATAACTGGGCTTTTTCACCCTATGACCTTAAAGTATTTCAAATTTCGTGCATAAGAGAAATTTACCGTTCGATACACTTACTTAATTAATTAACTCTTATCAAGATCATGGAAATTATATAAATGCATAAGTTTTTATTATATCATATCAGTAATTAACTATGACGTATACTATTTGTATATACTATTGACTGTCTTGTGAGCCGATGACGCGCCAACACAAACGAATTTTTTTATTTCAAAGAAGATTTTAAGACGATTTTATTGTCTTGTATATTGTAGGATGTAATATAAAAAAAAATTATCGTAGAAAAGGTCAAGCCATCGATAGGAAGTTTCTTAAATAATCAATGCTAACGAAAACTGCTTGATGCACTTTATTTGAGATATGTCAGGATAGCCTCGTGTCAGTTTAGTTTCTTTTGTAACTTAAGGCTATTTTATAATAGTACTTGTATAACTTGTTTATGTATAAATTTTTTGTAGAAGATGCAAGTTATTATTTTAAATATTGTGGTAAAAGATTAAACTTCTAATTCTTTGTTTTTTGAACTATATAACGTCAGAATTTTAGATCAGACTAAAAAAAAAAATATTTCTTTTAACGTATAAAGCTGGATTCTGATTGTGTTATAATGATTTATCTTCGAAAATTTGAGTATGAACGTTTTGATTGCATGGACCGAATTTAATGTTGAAAGGAGGAAAAAGTTCTTTGATAAAATCAAATAATTTTCGTTGTAGGGAATCCAAATACTAATTTTTATACTGTAATAGTAGTGTGGTTCATCGCAATCCTTACTTTTCTATCAATTTACTTCTACTTACAAGTACAGCATGGAAAGGTAAATACAAAAATTTGATTATTATCAACACACGAACATATCAAATCAAAAAAATTAATTAAATAGATAAATTACATTTCAAGTAAATAATCTTTTCCAGTTTAGAGAAAAACTCTTATTAGAATCTAGTCTTACCCAGTTTACGGAAGGGAAACTTGATTTAATGAATCCAGAACTTACAGTAGATGAGCAGGCAGAACTCCTTCCGTACGATATAAGGTGGGAGTTCCCCAGAGAAAAAATAAAATTAGGTAAGAGATTATAAATATATTTNTGCGTTAATTCATACTTATCTTGAATACTTATGCGAGTATTTTGAGTCCATATACTGATTTTTGTCTAAGTTTAAATTAATGTTATCGTTCGTAAATTGAGATTTTTATCGATAAAGCACGTAGTGATTTCGCTACAGAGTTTGCACAAAAAGAATTAAGTTCTTACGTCTACAAACAAAACACTTCTACTAATTAAAATATATTAAAAATTTTCTTGTATCCTTACATATTGTAACTCTCATAGACATAACACATAAGTTTAATTTTTTTTAACAATAGGACAAAATACAAGATTTTTACTGATTTTAGTATGGTTTCATGCAGCGGTAGTCCAAGCAATGAGACCAGCATTTACTGCTCAGAGGATCGGACATTCGTTGGCTCAATGGAATTTAGTAATGATTTTGATGACGATGATTCCCAGCCAGGTTGGCGTTCTAATTACAAAGGTGACTACGNTATAAGGCCGTAGCTTATGAAATATTTGCTAAAAAATCTAAGACAACTGTAGCTGTAAAAACAGTTCGCAAAAATGCAGATCCAATGTATATTACTGCACTTGCCAAGGAACTTAAAATTATGATTTATTTGGGACAACACTTGAATATTACAAGTCTTTTGGGAGCTTGTACAAAAAATATAGCTAAACGTAATCCTATGATCAATCACATATAAAAGAAAGTGTATTTATTAGACAAAATTATTTTACATTTTAGGTGAACTTTTAGTGATTGTTGAGCTTTGCAAATTTGGAAATCTGCAAAATTATCTCTTATATCATCGACAAACTTTTATTAATCAAATTAAATCAGATAAAGGTGAAATCGGCCCTTGTATTAGAAAAACATCAAATAGGTAATAATTTAACTGATTGTACTTTTTTCAATGCTCAAGAAATTATACGTTCAGTAGACTAAGTACAAAGGAAATACTTGTATTTTTCTATCGATACGTTCATTCAAACTTATTTTTTAAATATAAAATACAAGAGGCATTGATTTTTATTACAGTTTTGNTTTATTCCTTGATGTAAATAAATGATTAGAAATGGATCATTGGTCCAAAAACCAGTTGCGTGTAAACGGAGGAAAGTTTGTTCGTAAAAAAAAATTAGACAAAATCATTCGAGGAAAAAAGGGTATACGTCCCAAAAATATTAAGACAATGGAGACTAAGGAGAAAAAAAATGAGCCCTGCCTCCCCGTGGGAATAGTTTCATTTAAAGGACGTTGGACCGTAAATATGGACATTCTCGCCAGAAGTTTGATTTGTTCACATTGTACCAAACGAATTTTTTTGGAAAATAGGAAAATATTTTCGAGGATATATAGCATGGTGTATTATCCACTTTAAAAATCAAGTGCTCAAAATGTTGTGCTATAACAAATGTCAAATCTGTCAAAGAACACCAAGTCCCAGCAGAGCTGATTCCACCCCGACAATGAAAGGAAGTTGTGAATCAAAGTGTCACCAACAAGATGTTGGTTCTATCAAGATAAAAAATTAGGAAGTGGAGCTTTTGGAGTCGTGTATAAGGCCGTAGCTTATGGAATATTTGCTAAAAAATCTAAGACAACTGTAGCTGTAAAAACAGTTCGCAAAAATGCAGATCCAATGTATATTACTGCATTGGCGAAGGAACTTAAAATTATGATTTATTTGGGACAACACTTGAATATTACAAGTCTTTTGGGAGCTTGTACAAAAAATATAGCCAAACGTAAGCATTCGCGTAATNATAGAACAATTTTATGAAAATATGTAAGAGTTTTTGTGTTATTACTTAGCATCTCTTCCAAAATCTCATAGTTAAAGAACTAAATAAATATAATCACGTGTCAGAAAGAGTTATGGAGGGCAAGCCTAAGTTTGATCAGTATCGTTTGCATGTAGATAAGAATAGAGCAAAGAACAAAAAAAGTTTTCATCCATAGCGTTATCATTATACTTTATGTCTTCAAACCATGAATCATAAGGCATCGCTATTAATATTAAATTTGGTATACAACGATTTAAATATTATATAATTTAATTTAAAAAATGTCATTAAGTAGTATACTAGTATCAGGTAGCAATGGAGTTGAAATTCAAAAACGTTGTCTTCACTACGACAAACATTTTGGGTTCAAGAAAACTGTTCTCCATCTTAGGGTTGTTATTCCTTTAAATGTTCGACTTGACTCATAATCACAATTCCAGTTGTACTTCTTGAAAGAATTAAATTAATGATAGCATAGTTTGTAAAACAGAATATTAGTAGGATTATTGGTTTCAAGGACGTACATGCGTTAATTAATACTTATCTTGAATATTTATTCGAGTATTTTGAGTTTAAAATAATGTTACCGTTCGTCCATTCAGACTTTTATCGATAAAGCACTTAGTAATTTGGCTACAGAGTTTGTACAGAAAGAATTAAGTGTCTACATCTACAAAAAAAAAAACACTCCTACTAAATCAAAGATAATAAAAATTTTCATGTATCCATATAAATCGTAAATCTCATAGACATAACACATAAGTTTAATTGTTTTGGCCAATAGGACAAAATACAAGATATTAAATGATTTCAGTGTGGTTTTAAGCGGCAGTAATTCAAGCAATGAGACCAGCATTTACTGCTCAGAAGATGAGACATTTGTTGGCCCAATGGAATTTAGTGAAGATTTTGACGACGATGATTCCCAGCCAGGTTGGCGTTCTAATTACAAAGGGGATTACGCGAATGAAGATGTTGCGTTTCTCTGCACTGAGGATCTTTTTTTATGGGCTTTTCAAGTAGCAAATGGTATGGAGTATCTTTCCCAAAGAAAGGCAAGCACATATCTGTGTACAATGTTTCATTTTACTTGATTTAAACTTTATATTAACTAACTTTAGGTGTTTGCTACTCGTTTCATTTTTAGGTGTTACATTGTGACTTAGCCGCGAGAAATATATTATTGGCAGAAAATAACATAATTAAGATATGCGATTTTGGTCTGGCAAAGACATTGTACAAAGACGAAAACTATAAGAAGCAATGCGTTGGCAAGTTGCCTGTAAAGTGGATGGCCATTGAGTCCATTAGGGATGGAGTCTTTTCAACGATGTCAGATGTGTGGTCATTTGGTGTAGTTCTATGGGAACTTTTCACCCTTGGAGAAATACCTTACGCAGGTGTAGGGTTCGAAGTAATGTATCAGAAATTAGTCAGGGGATACAGAATGGCTCAGCCTACTTATGCCACGGATGAAATGTAAATAAATGTTTTTGTGAAAAGTCCATTTCCATAAAACCGTCACTCTACATTGCTTATGTTTTTTTAGTTACAATATTATGCTCGATTGCTGGGAGGAAGAGCCAACATCGAGACCGTCTTTTACAATGCTGGTTGAAAGTATCAAAAATCTTTTACAAGATGAAATCAAAATAGGTTTTCTTAAACTCTATCATACGTATGAAAATTGGAATAGAGAACGACAGCTAGAAAAAAAAGAAGAAAATCAAACTTGATCATGATCAGACGATATAATAATTCGACCGAGCCAGCATAACTACGTAAACACTATACCCGAAATCGCAAGTCCATCTTATCTAAACGTGTTTGATGGTATTACTGTAACTAATAATAAAAATATTTGACCACTTAATGACTTTAACTTTAAAAGCAAATAGTGAGTATGTACATCCAGAAAAAATANAAAATCTTTTACAAGATGATATCAAAATACAGTTTCTAAAACTCTATCATACGTATGAAAATTGGAATAGGGAACGACAGTTAGAAAAAAAAGAAGAAAACCTAACTTCATCATCATTAGACGATATAATAATTCGACCGAGCCAGCCTAACTACGTAAACACTTTACCCGAAATTGCAAGTCCATCTTATATAAACTTGTTTAATGGTAATACTGTAACAAATATTAAAAATATTTGACCTCTTAATGACTTGAACTTTAAAAGCAAATAGCAAGTATGTTTATCTAGAAAAAATATATGATTATCTTATTAAAATTGTATGTCTTTTAAAGAGTTCCATAGTTATTTAAAATGTTTAGACCAAATGAGACAGTTTTAATACATGTATTGTTTTATACATTTTATTTTAGTTTTTTGTTATTATTATTGTTTTCTTTTTATCAGCACTGCGTTATAAATTAAGGCACTTTTCCCTCGAGAGGTACACCATCTAGGGTTAATTTTATATGTCTTACCATGTCAGTAAATGAGTTAGCAAATCATTTAGAGTGCAAAGTTAGCAATCATGTACTTATTTCGCGAAATGAGAGTAACAGTACGTCTGTGTATATAATAGTCGTCACCTGATGTTCGTCAGCTAAAAACTCATACATTTGTATAATTTCCATGATCTTGATAAGAGTTAATTAATTAAGTAAGTGTATCGAACGGTAAATTTCTCTTATGCACGAAATTTGAAATACTTTAAGGTCATAGGGTGAAAAAGCCCAGTTATAATAATTGAGTTGCTATTAGTATACAACTCCTGTTGATAGAATTCTGTAGATACTATTTACATCCACTCAAATGTACATTATTTTTTCTCATTTTCTACGTTATTACATTTTACACAAAAAAATTCTGATCTTATTCACGTGGGGACTCCAAAGTACAAATACATTTTTTGTACATATATTAACTGAAGTACACACTCCGAAAAACAGAATTTTTTTTTAAATGTAAGTGAATGAATTCTTTTTTGTGTAAGACTTTATGGCAAGTTTT